GTGCTTCCTAGAAATTACTTAATTTTGTATTTTTTAGTTCAATCCACTGTGCAAAAAAAAAACAGTTTATAGCAAATAAATTAAATTAAAAGCAAATAAGTCTGAAGATGCATAATTCAATTGCATAAACATGCATAAGTCAACTTAGAGCCAATATCCAATAAATGATGTGATTTGTATGAAATTGAAAATGCAATTTTTGTCTGGGAAAAAAATTTATATTTTGAAAGGTAATGAACTTACCCTTATGTTTGTAGCAGAACAGTATCTCCTACATTGGACTCAATCCCCAGCACATCACCTTTGCTTTGTCCTTCACCAGAGAAAGTGAGGCCTTCTGAGAAACAACTATTGGGTACATGGGGGCCGTGGAGGGAACTAAGGGTATACGTTCATGGGACAGGACACTGGTTTTATAAAAAGATCACAGGACCAAAATGGTTGAGCTCAGACTGGAGGGTATTTCACATGATATCATCATAAATTAGAGTTGATTTGTTACAGATTCTTTTTTTCTTTTTCTTCTCCTGTGAAAGATGAGACTCTTCAGATCTGTAATTTCTAAGTAAGTCAGAGTTACATTCCTGATTTAACTTGGAAACTTTCAATGATTTATACCTTTTAAGCACCCAGTTGGCTTTGTCTTTCTGTTTGAGCTCCCTATTTTCATGTCTTCCTCTTTAGAGAAAGCCCATTTTCCACTATTCCAGTGTTATTATACCACAGCAGAAATTCACTGAACAATCACAGAGTTCCAAACCCAGCTCTCTCTGCTCGCAGCTGGCCTGCTCTAATCCCTGACCGTTAAACCTGCATTTGGTCACTAATGCACTACAACATTGCTAATGACAGGGAGGTACGACAAGATAAGCCCAGTCTCATAATGAATGACTCCACAAAAGCAAAGGGGCAAAAGTAATTATCGAACCACATGGACCGCTGGCCTTGAATTGCCATGGACATCCCATTTCATGTTCAGCTAAAACAACTCAGAGATAACCTTCTGCCGGGCAGAAGCAGCGGTTCACAAATGTGCTTCACCAACACCTGCTTCTGCGTCAGCAACTAATTGTCCTACAGGAAAGCATCCGTAGGGTCTTTCCTTCCAAGATGAATGAAGCAGTTTTGTACACTCAGATTGCATTCTGACTATACAAGAAACCTACAGAAATAGGGTAAGCAATTTTTGAATATTTAACAATCTTGCATTGGATTTTATTAAATACCTCTGGGTATCACAGACCACCCATGCCTTCCCACAAAACTTTCCAGGAAGTTCTAACTTACACATGATTTGTAACTAGCATAATTATAAAAAGGTCAAGTGCACCTCAATGTCCAATGTTTCATCTCACTAAATTATAACCAAAGAAAATCTAATCAACAAGCCAAGTAAAGAAGTTGATTAAAGTTGTATAGAAAATTATTTAAAATGTAATGCTTTTTTTTAAAAAAAATGTTTCAATGCAAATAAAATCCTCTGAGCAAAATAGCAAAATTTGTCAATGTTTCCATTAGACTTGACTTGAAAATTTCTTTTTGACTAAGCAAGAAAAGGATTGCTTCACCATCAAATAGAGCCAGACTGCAGCCCCATAAGGTCACTCTGACCCAGATGGATACACTTCTCCCACAGCTTCTTAATAGACAGTGCAGAAGTGATGATAAACCCAGGAATCTAGGAACTTATATCAATACAATTTGAGATGGCAAGAAAAAACTGAAATGAGCACAAATTTTAAACAGACTTGCTGCTGTGATAATCTCTGCTGCAAATGCAACACCTCAAAGTATTCCCAAACAGTAACCATTAGCTTGAATTCTAGGCCTAAAATAGCACCCGTCTAATCTTATCAGTTTGAGCCTGAGAAGAAAACAAAGTCAGAGACTAGCTTGCTCCAGCAGCAAGTTACTGGTTCAAGACTGAGAAACATTGGCCGTGGGCTTCCCAATAAGCTGAAATTAATACTTAGTGGCAAATGAGAGTCAGCAAAGTCAGAATAAACAATTATAGAAGAAAAAGATGTTGCCAGGGCTTGGGGAAGGAGAGAAGGGAGACTCCTGAGATCTCAGGAGCCTCGAGAGAAGAAGCAGCATGGGTGGCGCATGTTTATTGCATAATGAAGAATGTTCCATGAACTCCGTTTAAGCTTTTGCTAGGAAGGAAGGGTCTGGCTTCTTTCTCATTCTGCCTTAGGAACCAAGAAAACCAGAGTCACATTTAGAGCCCAGAGTGAAAGACTGCCCAAACCTCGTACCCTGTGTGCATGTGTGGAGCAGGGGATTCAAATTACCTTAACTTTTACTCTTCCTCATCAACCTATTTCTCTCACCTTGTTTTGTATACTTTGCTAAACTTCTTCAAATTCTTTCTTGGAAAGAGATGGGATGAGATTCCACATCTCACTGACTCCAAGTCGCTCTTTCCTGTGAAAGGCACTAAGGGACAGGACATGAGGAACATACTGCCAACCAAACTTCCACACCTCATGGATTGCAAGATCCACCTTAATTTCAGAGGTAACAAAGGGAGCAAAATGTCCACCTGAGCATCAGTGAAATGCAGCAACGTCATCCTCACCTGTATGTTTCCAAGAACTTATTGTTGGCTTGATTCTGTAAAAGACTTCAAAGGACAAGGCCAGGGGCTTCTAGGGTGCAGGTGGCCAGAGGCCCCCAGGCCACCATTCTGTCCTGCCCCCTTGCTTCACAGATAAAGAATGCAGAAGAAGAATACAGTCTGAACATCTCATGGCAACTTCAAGGATCAAATGACCACATGACACGTATTAACGGCTCACCAAATACAGGACAGGGCCTGCCTATCACTAATGTATACATTGGCTAAAACCAGGCCTAAACTTATCAAAAAGTTTTTTTTTCTGTCTAAAAGGCACAACGATATCAACTGAGTACTTTTCATCCTATTTTTTCCTAAAGCCGTAGGTTATTTTCATTTCCAGACTTTGTTACCACTGAAGGAACCGGTTCCTGCTGTGACTACTCTTCACTGTCTCAGTGAAACATTCAGGCCAAAGCAGAAAGCCATTCCTTTGGATGTCCACCATGTGCAGCAGAAGACCAGAATAAGACCCACTTCACTTGAGTTTTGTGAAATCTCTACTACAGGTGAAAAACAAATTTTATTTCAAGGTTATAGTGCTGTGTATAGATGTAGGGAATATGAACTATCTGAATCAGAATTGGTGATAAATGAGAAATATGAATGTATTCCATTTTTTATCACTTATGGCTTAAAATAAATTATCCTTTTCTTTCTAACATTGTAATTGGATGGCAAATCAAATAAACATACTCATCTTCAAGCTGCACTCTATTTACAGTGATGAGAAACCATCATCTGAAACCTGACACCTAAATATATGTATGTACACATGTGCACTCACATGCTCATGTAAGCACGTGCATACACACATGCACAAACAACACACAAGCAGGAGCACATGCATGCATGAACGTGAACATGCACACACCTATTCACACAGGCACACACCCACCATGTGCAAACACATGCACACATATGTGCTCATGCACATACACATACTTATGCACATGCACATATGAACACACACACCATGGGCAAACACGTATACACATATATGCTCATGCATACACACACACACACACACACACACACGCACGCACAAATACGTGCACACATACCATCTGAAAGAACTCCTTTGTGAATTCACAAGGGATTCTTAAACCTGGTTACAAGACAATTGGCAATATGAGTAGTGGGAGGCTAACAGTGACTTTGCCTGAACACAAGACTTACAACATGATGGCAGAAAGCCAATTAGTGAAATCTAATTGGATGTATGCAACATGGTGTAATGAGAAGAGATCAAGTGTATTAAATTTTTAATCCAAACCCAAATGCTGCAATAGGAAAAAAAAAACTCAAGTCATCACTGAAAATCATTGTAAAAGGCAGAATGACACATTTTTATAATTTCCTTAATGCATTATGGTTATATTTGATAACAAGTTCACTGTGACATGATCACAACTGCATATACAGTTTGCTCATTCTCAATCCCCCAGTCCTTCCCTTTTACCTTCCATCATTCCTTCCCTGACCCCCTTCCTCTAATCTACTGGTGTCCTTCTACTTATTTATTATTTTTTAATTGGTGTATTATAGTTACACATAAAAAGAATTTCACTTTGATTTATTCATAAGTGCATTTAGCATATGTTGGCCAATTCCATTCCACTGTGCCCACCTTTACTCACCTCCACCCTCCCCCTCCATCCCCTTCCTCTATTCCTCTGATCTCTCCTCTAATTTTGTGAGATCTACCCCCACCTCGTTTCCCCCCTTATTTTGTTTCAGCTCCCACAGATGAGAGAAAGCGTTTTGCCTTTAACTTTGTGAGTCTGGCTTATTTCACTTAACATGATGTTTTTCAATTCCATCCCTTTATCAGCAAATGCCATAGTTTCATTTCCTTTATGGCTGAGTAAAACTCCACTATGTATATATATCACATTTTCTTTATGCATCATCTGTTGACAAGCACCTGGGCTGGTTCTATAGCTATTGTGAATTGTGCTGCCAAACACACTGGTATGCATGCTTCACTATAGCATGCTGGTTTTAGTTGTTTTGGATAAATACCAAGGACTGGGATAGCTGGGTCATATGGTGGCTCCACTTTGGGTCTTTTGAGGAATCTCCATGCTGCTTCCTAGAGTGGTTGTACTAATTGGCAGTCCCACCAATAATGTATGAGTTAACGTTTTCCCTACATCCTCACCAGTGGTTATTGTTATTTGTATTCTTGATAGTTGCTTTTCTGATTGGAATGAGATGAAATCTCAGTGTGGTTTTGATTTGCATTTTCCTGATTGCTAAGGATGTTGAAATTTTCTTCATATACTTGTGGGCCACTTGTGTTTCTTCTTTTGGGAAATATTTAGGTTTCTTTAGTTCTTTTACCCATTTATTTATTGGGTTCTTTCTTTCTTTCTTTCTTTCTTTTTTGGGTGTTAAGTTTTGTGAGTTCTTTACATATTCTGGATATTAATTCCCTATCAGAAGAGTTAGTAGCATAGTTTTTCAGAATACCCTTATAACACACAATGAGTTGACATTACTAATTAAACATAGTAATATCCTCTCTCATGCCTTAAAAAAACACAAATATTTAAACTGCTTAAAGACAAAAATTTGAAGTGCAAGGGCAGACACGCACACATGGAAAATGATCTCATGGAATACAGTTTGAAGAGGAATTGAATCCTTCTAATGCAGATGAGCCTCCACAGCAAGCCACACCTTGGGTCAGTGAGACCTGAAGAGCAGCAGAGATTAAAGGAGACTTGTCAGTAGTGGTGCCTGGTTTCACTGGATCTGATATCAAGGCAACATGGGAGTCAAGGTCAGTGCCATTTCAGGGAATATATGTTACAAAGCAGTCGATAGTCCCTCTCTGGGCACCTGATACTGAAACCACACCCCGAGCTTGGAGGCCAAAGTTCTGCTGAGAGGATCAGGATGGGGCTGGGAGCTTTCAAATGCTCTGCTATCACCGCCCCTGGGGATTCCAGCAGAACTGACCAAGGTTGGCTAGGGGTGATGATGTTGCAAAGCTGCCCCAGATTTTGGAAAAATCTTGCCCCACTTTTCTTTTTCCCTTAATTGGTTCTGGCTACAGCCAGAGGTTAAGTGTGCATCTTTCTTGGAAATGAATGTGATTTTTTTGATCTTGCTTGATATTCTTCAGAGTAGAAATATGGTGTTGACATGCAGCGTGAGCATGTCAGGATTCAGGTCCATGGAGGCACATGATCCTCAGCACCCAGCAGGGGTATGGAGCTCCTGGGGTCCTCTCCGCATCTGGGCAATCACACTGGTACTGAGCAGCAGAAACACATGGCTGTATAGCTTCTCAGCAGGGGCTTTCTCTCCACAGCCAGGTCACAGCAACACCAGGGGAGAAAACACACTGGGGACTTAAGACAGGACTTGAGGAGGAACTCAGCACAGGCATCTTAGTAGGACAGAAGCAGCTAATGCAGACAGAAACACAATTCCTCCCTTCCTAGAAAGACAAGAACAGGGCTTGAGGCCACACACAGGGAACACTGACCCAGCCACATTCATGTCTGCCCCAGGAGCCCTGTGCCAGCCACTAGCATGGCCAATATCTCAAAACCAGATGCAGGACCCCTTGGGGGATCCCCAGCCCTGCAGCCACCACTGCCACCATGGAGCTCACATCCCTGCTTCTGCACAGTCACCCCTGCATCTGTGCCAGCAAAGCCAAGCCACAGGCCTGCCCTGGCCCTCTGGAGCCTATTCTCGACTCTCCGCTGAAGGTGGGGAATTATCCAGACCCAAGGTGCTTTGTTCACCGAGAAACTAAAAAGGAATCACAAATAACCACTAGCATTTGTTCACTGCTCCTGGAATTAAGCAAAGCGGTGAAAAATGACTTGTTTAGTATTTTACTTTTGTGCCCATGGTTTGCTTTATCAGAGACAAGGCTAAGTTCAAGCTCCAGAGTTCATTTCCTCTATCTTGGCTTCGCCAGCCTTGCAGACCCAGAAATGCTCCCCTGAGCGCCAGAGCAGAGCGGCTCAGCTCACAAGGGCACACAGCTTACTCTGGTTCTCCACAGTGTACTGCGATGTTTCTAGAATTTGCCAAGTCTGAGTCTGAGTAGGTGTCGTGTGTCGTAAAGCATTAATGCATCCTTAATTACATTTGGAATATGAAATCACCCAGGCTCGTTACTGCACTCTAGACAGTTATTCTCAATTTTCCACTTTCCATCAGACTGAGATCTCCTTGGCAGAGCACACATATACCAAAATGGACCTGGAAACCAAGAGACCGAGCATGTTTCTGTGGCCTTGAGATCTTAACTCACTCTCGGAAGAAGTTCATGACATTGTCAAGACTTCTCCCTGCCTGTGATGCTTTGATTAGTTCTAAAACCTTCTCTGGTCCTGTACCTTGCGGCTGCCACACCTCTACGCCTCTGAACTGCATTTCTAGAGATTTCCAAGCAGACATTGGAAAGAGTGATTAATATCTACTCTTCCAGGAACACAAGTAGTATGATTTCACACCCCATCATCACTTTTAGGTAGCCTTGCCTTGTTCTGACACGTGGACCCCAACCTCCTATGGAATATGCTTGGTTATTATCTCAAAGTCTAAATCAAACAGACCTTCAACCAAAGCCCTCAGGTATTTCTTTCAATGGGTAATTTTATTTTCTCATGAGAAGGAAGGAAATCATGTTTACCCAAGAGCCAGCATCCAGTTCAAACCAGGAAACAACACAAAGTAGTCAGTCCCCAATGTATAGTTAACAGAAACCACTTACGGGGAGGAACCTGGAGTTCTCACGAGCTGCCTTCCTATGCAACACTCCAGAGTTCCCTGTGGGAAAACAAAACAAAACCAGGTTATTTTTGAAACACAGGAGTACTAAATGCAAAAGGTTCTGGCTTTAAGCAAACAGTGATCACCAGCAGGACTTTAATGAACCCAGATTCTACGAATTCTATGCATTTCTCTGTGGAAAGGGTGCATAATTTTCAATGGAATTATAAAGGGATATATCTCAAAAGAAAAGAAACACTTAAGAAACAATAGTAAAGGAAATTAAGCACTCTTTCCTGTGCCAGGGTGGATTTTTGGCCTACTACCACCCCTAGACCAATTAAAGATCAGGTTGGTTTCCAAATCAACATTTGTCTAGAGACCTGTTTTCCACATTTCTTAGATATCGAGGGCACAAGCCACCAACAACTGTAATTGAAAGGAAAGTTTTGTAAGGGCTGAATTATTCTTCCCTCCCTTCCAGAGCTTTCTCTCTAAAGCAGGTGTTATGTGAGCACCCTCACAACCGTGGCTGGCTGTGCGTCACAAGGGTGCAGTTACACCCAACGGCCCTACAGCCCTTTGCAGTAGGAGGCACTGTCACACAGAGAGCTAGCCAGATGTGGCATTCAGGCTTGGAAATCTCTAGAAATGCAGTTCAGAGGCGTAGAGGTGTAGTAGTCTCTGCATTTTCACCAAACAAAAAGGATATATTGACATCAGATGTGGCTAACTGGTTTTGTTCTAAATATTAATGATATTCTTATGATCCAGATAACTCAGTACTTATCAGTCTGTGTTTGCAAATCACCATTAAATTAGTCACTAGCCTGCTTTTCAGAAATTAGTCCCTCTCCAACTGTCCTTTGCTACTTTTAGGAGACCTGGGCCATCCCAGTATGCATTGTCCACTACCCCAACAGTTCCCATTTCTTTTCATATGGGACATGCCCTATGAAAAGAGAGAGAAGTCTGGGACATGCTTCACCCAGACCCTGAGGTAGGAGTTTGGGGACAGCAAGATGGTGGAGGCAGGGTACAAGAAAAATGTACAAGGAAAAAAAAGGGGGGGGGGACGTGCAAGACAGGGAGATGAGTCATCACATCCCTGTTTACGGTAAGTTCTATTACCATGGCAACACCCCCACTGAGGGCTTATCACCATGGCAACTCCAGCCACAAGTTCTGTATTCTAATTATGCAAAAATAAAGCAACCAATGGAAACTGTGTTCTAATGAGGTAAAATAAAGTAACCAATGGGAACAACAGGGCACGGTCGGTCTTAATCAGGTCCATCGGGAGGAGAACAAGGCTCTCAGACTCCCCAGGCATCAGGGCCTTGAGCCATTCTCTTCAGGGCTCTTCACTTTCACTTGTAATAATTCTATACTCTTCCTGTTGCTTCTGTATATCTTGCTCAGTTCTTTGGGATGCCAAGAACCTGGACCCAACTGGACCCCTCCACTGGTGTCCACCCCTCTTACAAAGTACCCATGGCTGTCCATGAAGACTAGGTGCTGAGAAGCCCCAGTGACCTTTCTAATGTGAAGCTACTTGACTCTGACCCAGGAAGGGACAGTGTGTGTTTGAAGAACTTGTTCACGTCCAACTGCAATAGTCTGCCGCCGTTAGGGCTGAACATGTGATGGCACAGAGTGAATGTCAACTGCTCTATATGGGAGATGAGAAGAGGAGGCTGAAAGGATTGATGACTTGTTCAACATCACTTCTGATGCCGGCCAGCAGCCTGGAACTCCAGGTCGAGGTCTTTTTATTACCCCTGCTTTGCAGGCACTGACTGAATGGCCACAAGAGGCTGGGACGGTCATATATTACCTGCCGCCTGATATAGGAACCCCACATTCTAAGTAGATAGCTGTAGGGAAAGTTTCCTATTCACGGACTTTCTCCCAGATCCCTGGTAGATGGGGACTGTCCTACCCAAATGGCTCCTCAAGGCCAGGAAATGCCCACTACCTCCTTTTACCAGCCCCCCACACCCAGATCCCACGCCTGTCTTTCTAAATTCACACCAATGACGATGACAAACCTCCTGGAAATTTCCAGAAATGGTGAAATTTAATGAGCCAGAGCAATAAAATATGTGCAAACCTTATATTTATGGTTTTAAAGATTTTTTTAAAGCCCTCTACAAATGTAAAGTTACTCATTAGCTTACGAAACAGGAAACATATCAGTTGTAATTCAATTTGCTCACAAAATCATTAGGGTTCATTATAGTTCAAATAAACCATTCAGCATATTAATCAAATCATGTTAATCTATTATATTTTCATATCAATGAAACATTATATTGCCAAACTTTAAACAGTTGAGCTGGTTTTAATATTTTTGAGCAGCAGGCAAACTCTTGGGAATGAGGGGAACACTGTCTATTAGTGAAACAGAAGGCTATTGTATCTGCAGGGGCAGAAGCCACACAGAAGAGAAGCCATGGTTTTCATTTTTAAAAAGTTGAGAAGAAAAGCCACCAGAAAGAACAAGATTTCTAAAAACAAGCAAACAAACACAAAAGTCTGGATGATGAAGCTGCTCTCCTCTGAAGCAGAATGTGGGCATCTGTGGTCCAGAACCTTCTCCAGCAGCATCTGCCCGGGAGATTCCTTCCTAGCCTCCTCTGGTCACTTCCACAGAGTAAGATTTTCTCACAATTGAGAAAGTGACTTCTTGCTTCTTTCCTGCACAGCTCCCCTCCTCCCCAGAGGTAGAAAATTCAGTACCAGCTGGAGTCTCCTTTGCCCCAGTCCTTAGCCCAGAGCTTGCTCTTCAGTGAAGCGCCCAACTACATGTCAATCAATCCCTTTGTATAAGCCCTCTGCCTGCCACCAGTCTGACTCGGGCCTGCTCTGAGTGTTAGAACACGGCCCCTAGCCTGCAGGAGCTCCGTCTAGCTCCCTTGACCCTGAGTCCAGAACAAATGACATCACCACAGGACACACACAGCACCAGCACAAAGAACTGCAGAGAAGGGAGCACCTGACTGTGAGAAGATTGGGGGAGTCTGCAGGAGTAGGTAGCCTTCCGCTAGGTCCTGAAGGTAACCCAGGCAGCTTGAGGCAGTCCTATATCTCAAGTGGATTAAATGGAATAAACCAAGGTGACTATTTTAACAAACATGCCAAGAAAGGTTTGGAGGTACAAAAAGAGTAAGCCTCAAATTTTCTGCAAGAAAACTTTATACTTTCTGAGTCAAGGAAAGGATACAAAGCAGCTCTTGGTGTCCCTTCTCCAGCCCCATCATCCCAGGGGAACCTCTGTGCTCCTGAACCAGCTCAGACTCAGACAGGCAGCACCTTCTCCCCAGCTCTCAGGCCCCCAATGTCCTTGCCTTCACCCTGATAGATGAGCCAGTGACATGTTACATGCTACCTATGTGAAGGTCATAAGTCATAAATTAAAGCTTGCTGTTGTCATCTAGGTTAGCATAACCCTGGACGGACTAGAGTCTGTCCAGGTCACAGCTTGTGATGCCCAAGGAGAATTTTTCAGGCAACCCCGACAGCACACCACAAACCTGTTTGAATGTCTGGTATTATGTAGGCTTAAGAGCCAACTATAGTTTATCCATGAATCCCGGTTTCCCTCAAAAACAATAATTAAACATGGACGAAATCTGTTTCTCTTTTCCTCCATCAATCCTGTGTGCTCCCACAAACTCTGGGAGCCAACGACCCTTGCCCATTCCATTCTCAAATCTCCTGCCCCTGCCAGTTTCCTCCCCAAAATGAGACTTCCTGCAATCCTGTTCTGCTGACTCTGCCTCTTGAAGATCCCTAACAATCTGAACCCTGTATTCCAGGAAAGGCTCAGTTCTTCACACTGCCCTGTGTACTGGTCTGGTCCTCCACTCCACCTTGTCAAGCCTCTTCTCTCTGGACTGGGATGCCATCATTTGTCACACTGCTGTGCACAATGCTCAGGGCCAGGCACTAGGTTAACACCTTCCCATTTTCCAAGAATTCACAATCCTGTGGGGAGTCAGAAAAGGGCAGGATGGTTCCAAATAAACATCACATGTTATCAGAAGGTGAGCTGGGTATGGGAGGCACATAACTGGGATCCTTCCACCCAATGAACCAAAGAAAATGACCTAGATAACACATCAATGAGCTGAGCCCAGGGGAGAGGCATCCATAGGTAGGACAGGCAGATGGATGCTCCTCTTGCCTTGTTTCTGTTTGGTTCAGTCCCGTTATAGACTATGGCTCTGTCCTTGATCCTCTGTACTTTCCCTACCCACCTCTGCTCATGGATAGCTCACCTCACAGTGCATATGAGCTGCCAATCAAATCAGGCTCCTGATGGGGATCCCAGCTCCCCACAGGGCTGCCCCACTCAAGGGGCATGCATCTCCTACTGGTCGGGGTCTCAGAACCTGGCTCCTCTACCCCTGAAAAGTGGCCCTTCCAATTCAAGGATTGCCAGCACTGTGGAACTGGAATTCAAAGCCTTAAAGATACTCTTTCTCTTCTTTTTACTCTCTGCTGAGTTTTCCACATATTTATGAATGAATGAAATTGCCACTGTTCCTGGTTTTTCCCAGCATCTAAACCTCTAGTAAGCACCTTTACCCTCAAAATAAGGCAAGTGCTCAACTAAATTTAAGGTTCGCCATAATCTTGTCCTTTATCTGATCTCAGTTGTTATGCCACATGCCCTCACCACGTGTGTGTCATGCTCAATAGCTTTCAGCGTCTTTTCAAAGTGTTTTTACAAACAGTATCTCCTCCATCTGCCACAGACTGATCAGATGGACAGAGAAGGCATCACCATGCCTCTCTTTTGGAAGACAAAGGCTAAGAAATGGGTGCTCTCAGATCTCCTCTGACCGACCCACCACTTGTCCCATCACATCCTTGTGTTGCACACAGTCCAGCACTGGTGGTTTCCTGTGTGACACACCCACACCCAGTGTGATTGTCTCAGAGACAGGACGTGTCCCTGCAACTCCTTCTTCCCAGCTCTGCACTCACTGAGAACCCTCCTCCCCAGCTCCTCCTTCAACCTAAAGGTGCAGTGAACCAGAGCGGGAGGG